CCCCAAAACCCCAAAACCCCAAAACCCCTCATAATCCCTTCTGTATTGAAATTCTAAATTAGTAAACGCTCTTCTATGACTAGAAGTATGTTGACCTTTTTCTGTTCATAAGCCTCAGGTTGTTCCCAACCAAGCTCTTTTTACGTAGATTCAAGCCTATACACATCAGATAATGTCTTACTTGTCTTTTTAGTACTGGTAGTGAATCCATGGACAGTTTTTGTCTTTGAACAAGCCTCCTTCTGTCTCAAATTTCGAGCCTTTTTCCCTCCAGGAACTTTACAGCTAATCGAAATGTCAGTATCAACTGTCTGGTAGGCATGGATTTTAGATTGAGATCTGTTCCTGTCCATCTTTGATCTGAGAGATTGAGCTATTGATCTGATAACTCCACTCGACTCTTCTCATGTACTACAAAATTACAGGCTGGCATACCTCTTCTTCGCTCTGCCATTCATGCTTGAGTAGAGGTTGATGCAGGTAGAATTTACTGAAGGTTTAGGCACATTTTGATTCGTTTTGTAATGAACTTTTGTCCTATTCTTCTTTCTATGCATCGTTCTATTCTGCGACCTGCTGTTCTTCCTCAGCTTATCTTTGAATTTACTGTAGCTTAGAAGCGAAGAGCTTGTGTCTGAATAATTAACTTTTGGTCTTACCACATTTGTGCATATTATTTCTAATAGGGCTTAATTTGTTCTCAAGTCCTTTCTGAGCATGATTATCTAAATTCTCTCTAATGGTCGATTTAGTTGATGATTTTCGAAGTCTCTCAACATGCTAAATAGTTACAAAGCTGGATTTACCTTTTTGATAGACATGATTTGAGGCTTAGGGCTCATATTTCTCTACGAATCAACCTTGATAAATACCTGAATTGTCTTCTTGAATTGATCTTGATTAAAACTTCCTTCATTGTATTTTGAATAACTTGATATATTAAGGTTCTCTTGTGTGAAGTTCAAATCGCTTAGCATATGGGAACCGGAATTCTTCCTGTGTAATTGTGGCCTATTGATAAATGCTATTACTTACATATATCCACCGGTGTATTTTGGTTTCATATTTTTATGGATTGTAGAAGAGGAAAATGTATCCGTTGGCTCTAACTGAATATCGTTCTGATCCTGGATGTTCTCTACCTTGGCCTCAGATTGATTTTTGCCACTACCATATCGCTCTAGGAATTATGAAAATCTATACCGACTGGGAGATTGTCTTCTTCTGAATCGTTTTTAGTTGATTTCCTAAACTCTGCAGTTCCATTCTGGTACTGAGGATCAGCAAGCTCGTCCCTTGAGTTAAATTTGATTATTCTCTCAAAATCTGCTCCATGGAGATTTCTCGTTTTAGCTTGAGCATCTTCCATTGGACTTTCAACCTGATCATCACAGAGATCAAGATTTATAGTGCGAAAATTAGACTTCTTTGATTGATCTAGATCCTCTTTTTGACAAATAACAAGGTCATCATCTTCAAGCCTCACGTTATATATCTCCTGCTTTGACCCAGAATCAGAGGTATTGGGATATGTATCAGAGTCATTCTGGTCCCTATCAGAAACAACTAAAGCTAAGGATTAGGAGCATACTTTTCACATGGACAATCTGAGAATCATGAAGGACTCATGATTCATCCTCCTTTTGATTATTTCTCAGCTTGACTTCATTCTCTTTCATGGCAAAAGAGATCTTGTTTGAGGCTATATTAGTAATAATTCAGGTTTACTTCTGTTATAGCTTGAGCATTCAAATGAATTATTATCCTCTATCCGAATAGTTCCATTCTCAAGCGTTGGTGCAAAAGAAGACAGGTTTTCTTTAGATGGCATAAGATATCAGGCCAGTGCCTCATTTTGCTTCTCAAAGTCCTCTTCTACAATTTTTGGCATGAATTTTTCAGGGATAAATTTCAATAAGTTAGGAGATTTCTACTGAATTAGCTGCTAAACTTACAGTGAGTATGCATCATTTTAGCTGTTCAGCATATAAATTCCTTTCGTTATTTGAAATCAGGATCATTATTATCCTCACATCTAGACTGTTAGAGAGTAACTTACAGATTATCAATGCATTGCTCTATTTTTGTGACCAAACTTTGATTTCATATAGGAGTTCCAGGACTTTGTCAAAATAATGAACCCTCAAGAAGCTATAAAATCATAGAGTTTATTAAAAGTCTTTGGCTTAGAGATGAAATTAAAGTATATGGAAAGACTCAGATTTTTATGAGAGATAAATCTCCATTTTCAATGAATACCTTTTCTTCAGTTCCTTCAGTAAAGGCTTTACGATATTCCTTCTGGACAATGAACATATCAGCCAAGAACTTGGTGTCCTTGGGATCATCCATATTAAAATGGTCGTACATCTTCGATTTGCAGAAATTTTAATTATAACTACTAAAAACTAACGAAATATCTATTGGGGTTTTGGGGTTTTGGGGTTTTGGGG